ATATATATATATATATATAAATATATATAAAACCATCAGCATCGATGAAGAAAAAAGATAGGATGCAAGAAGTCTATATCTTCTTATTCAAGTATAGTAAAGATGAATTCTAGTTGACATAGAATCATATATATTGATATAGTAGGCGAGAAAATGAGGTATGTAGCAAATAATGATGATAACCATCATCAACACATCACGAGTATCTGTTGAAAAAAATGTAATCAATATTTATAAGGGTGCGACTTGTTAAATTGTTTGTTCGGCATGTTTGTCGTGGTCTGCTCCTTCGTGTTCATCATCATTATTCATTCGAACGTGATAGATATAAATAGTAAAGAAAAAGAAAGAGTAAAAAAAAAACATGAGAAAATAGGATATCTGCTAACTTGAGTTTAATATGCAACACCAGTCGCGTATGTTTGACAAAAGTAAGCAGATGGTACATAGAGAAAAAGAAAAAAGAAAAATGTGCTCTGTGCGTGTGTCATTTGTATATGTCGTACAAAAATGATCCGAGAATTAAGAGTATATCATACATTAAAGAACTATCGTAATGATTATTTCAAAAGAATTTTAAAGGTCAGTTATAATACATATGAAAAAAAAAAACAATTTTTTTATCTTATCTTTGTTCTTTTTACATATTGACGTAGAATAGAGACAAAAGGATGAGCTCTATTCTCATGTCTATATCACGCAATTTGTCATCCTATGTCTCGTCGAGTAAATAGCATAATATATAAAAAAAAGATATTCTTATTTGTATAATCAAGATATCATGTCTCTTTTTATTTTCTAGATTTCTTCTACTTGCGTGAGTGTATATTTGTATATAAGAAATTATGGCTACATCTCTAGCTGATTTTCATCAAATGATAAAATTATTTGGTGCTGATACGGATGAAATGAATGTTACAACAGCAGCACATGATGAACATGAAGAAGAAGAAGATGATGATGATGATAATGAAACTGAATTACAACTTGATGAAGAATCATCACTTATATCAAGTGGTGAAGAAGAAATAATTAAAGATAATC